GTAGCACTGTAATAGGATGCCACTGTTCGTCCTAAACATTCCAAAATCAGCTGTGAGATGAGTTATTCCAAAGCATTTAGAAACTATAGAAACTCAGACACATTCCCAAAACTCTGCTGACTTAATAACTGCAGGTTTCCAAACCTCCTCTGGCATCCATGCAACATCAGCACAAAAACTGTGCACCGTGCGCTTCACAGCATAGATTTCCAAGGCTGTACTATGTAGGTGGCCCAGTACTTTTGTTCATATAGTATGCAGTCATTATATTATTCACACTCATGATCTCTATATAAAAGATAAAGGCACCGCTGTGAGTTCTGATTTGCAGAGTCCAGTGTTTTTAAGCTTTGGCTTTTTAAGTATTTTCTCCATCAGCATTTTAGAAATTTCAAGCAGAGGGCAGATCTGGGAAACTTGCTCTTTCAGTAGCTGCTTGTCTTTCACATGCTAGGCCCACCCTGAGTCATAATCTGTTTTATTGTTCTTCTGGATATTAATGGGGACTGTGATATATAAAATGAGCACACTTTTATATTCACTAAGGACCGAAACTTTCAAATGAGAACAAAAAACTCATCAGAACGTGCTCACCGAGGTCTCAGAATAAGGGAACCCAGAGTTTTCTTTACTACCAGAGTTCCTTTTGCAACCATAGGAGGTGTCCCTTGTTGAACATTTAAAAGAATGAAGGTTGAAGGTACTTCTGGATTGTCATCTGCTATATGCATATTTTATAAATACAATTTATGTTCACATTATTGTTAAGTTCATTTAGAATATATATCAAACGTGTATCTCTCCCTGTGTAGACCCTCCCACCGTGACCCTGTCCATCGAGCCTCGCTCTGTCCTTGAGGGAGAGAGGGTTACCTTTACCTGCCAGGCCACTGCCAACCCTCCTATCATGGGCTACAGGTCTGGATGTTTTTTTTTTAATATGTGTTTACAGGTCTTTGTGCACTTCAGGCTATGAGAAACTTTTTGATGCTCATCCTGCAGTGCAGATAAGATGTTTAAAGCCAATATGTTTTCTTTCATCTGTGTGAGTGCGCTCATACCCTCTCCCTGCTGTTGCTCCTGAATAGCAATTTCTGCTTAGAGAACAGAATTGATAAAAGTACTGAACATTTGTACAGCTAAACGCTGACTTTTATCGTAAGTGACAGCATTGAAGCACTGAAACTGCAAAATGCCGGAGTTTAACACGATGGTTGTAATTTGAGGTTTGAGACTCCAACAGAGGGTCCCTGTGTGGGAACACTGCCAGGTACTTAGGCACTTGGCCTACTGAGTGAACATTAAATGTCATCTAATGGACGATGTGCAATATGGTTATTTGATTTTGAGTCAGGTATCTGGCAAGATACAGCACGGATAACAGAGATGAAGAGAAATTTCTTGCAATCATTCCCTCAGGTTTTCGTATTAAAGTCGTGTAAATGTTAGCTTAATTGATAATACAAAAAGAATCATTGTCTTATGGTGGAAATCTAACATTTAGATAACCTCAAAAACCCATTATGCTTTTGAAATATCCCGCTGGGAGGTCTACATAACAATGATTTACAACGCTTAAAAACATGTTGAACTGTGTGTTGTGCTGTGTGTCTCACTGTCAGGTGGGCTAAAGGTGGCGTGCTGCTGGAGGGAGCCAGAGAAAGCGTGTTTGTCACCACCGCAGATCACTCATTCTTCACCGAGCCCGTGTCCTGTCAGGTGTTTAACGCCGTGGGAAGCACTAACGTCAGCATCCTTGTGGACGTGCACTGTGAGTAGAGTGCAAACACTTCTTAGCTGAGTGGGATTCTGATGACATGAATGCGCTTTGTGCTCTCTATTTGTCTAAAGAAACATGCTGCATTTATATTGTTGCCATACACCATTCATGTATTGCGCAATGAGTAAATTCCCAATAGGCTGTTATTGCGT